CACACATAAACACACATACACACACACACACACATACAAACATACACACACACACACACACACACACACACACACATACACACACACACACACACACACACACATACACACACACACGCAGAGAGAGAGAGAGAGAGAGAGAGAGAGAGAGAGACTGGTAAAGCGAGTACATTTCCGCATTACTTAATAATCAATATTTTATTTAATCACTATTTAACTAACTGATTAAGCTGTGTGTGCAATGTCCCTGGTGTTCAATGTGTGACACAATTTACTTCCGCGTCCTTTTTTAATTTTACCTTGTTACTCAAGACCTTATTCAATGTGCTGTGCTAAAAGTACTCACCAAGCATTGCTAAAGTATATTCCGCTTCTGTAAAAATGAGAAATAACTTTCATCAAACACATCGGATATTCTCTCCGACATCAGATGTCATCAGACTCTGTATGGTCAGGTGTACGGAAGATGTGGCCATAGTTGCGCGGTCACTGGTCAAAGAATCAGTGTACGTAGTCTGCCCTGGTCCTGTCGACGAGGCTACAAGGACGTTAGGATCAGGATCTGTGAGGTGCCACTGTATGAGGTTTATGGTCCCAGATAAGCCAAAGCGGTAGTGTATTTCATTAGCCTCTCCATAACCGACGAATGGAGCCGCCAACGATGTTTGTTTGTAATTCTCCTGAACATTTATAAAAGTAAGACATGTTTACATTTTACACTTTAAAAGAGTAAGACTTATAGGCACATATAAAACCTGTTTAAAAACAGAGTGCTTGTAGAATTCCGTGTTCTATCTGTATAATAAAAATTAAGATTGTTTCAAATTTGCAGCAGACAATAAGCTTTCATTCGCCTGTCCTTAATAACGAGAAAAGTTATAAGATTATGGAATGGTGAGGGGGTGGGGGGTCGTTGAGATATTAAACCCATTACATATTATAGTATACACATATCATGCTAAAAATAAAGGCGAGAAACATAAAACATAATGCAGCAAGCTATTCTATAAACAGGCTGACACATGATATCCCGACAGTCAAGACCCTCAAGTAATAGTGCCCCCGTAGGTTTCACGCGGCTTCACCCGCTACTATAATCAAGATTTGTAAGACGACGACACAATGCCTATCCATGGCTTTGCTCTAATAAAATAAACGTGGGTTCAAACAAAATTAATCAACTTGGAGGAAACCTCATTGAGAGTAATGTGTTTTGTGTGCAAAACATCACACAATGACAAATCGAATTTGTCGCCCACTTTTAACCCTGTGAACATAAGCCCAGTGGTGCTATCTTGCTTTCATACAGCCAATATATGACCCAATGATTGTTGCACTTATTGCATTTGGTTTTGTCATTTCTACATTATACAGATTCTAAAAAACACTCACTTAAATACTCAGTATTAATACTAATATAGACGTAGATAAGTAAGTTATAAGACGTATGTTTAATATTTTCACACAGTTAGCATTAGGTTACAGCAATGCTATCTGTACTTACCGTGTCAATACAGTCACTTCCCTTTCCCACACTGGCCTATATTAAGGGACCTGGCCTGATTTCAACTCCTTTCATAGGTAGTCCGCTTTGCAACATGTGCTATTTTTATCAACCGATCAATAGAGGCAATGGTAGCACATTGCCATACCCCTAAGTTGAATAGGTCTGTATTCATACTTTTAAAAGCTAGCAGCATTATAAAGTGTAACGCGGACTTAATAGCAAACGCTCGTTGAACAATTATGAAAACAGTTTGTTAATTTATGGCCTATTTCAAAACGTTGTTAAAATGGACAGAGATAACATAGTGAGTTATCGCAGAAAAATTCCAATTAGTGTAACTGACATCACATTATACCTCGCACAGGTAGACGTGGACGTTCAATAATGTATATCTATTAATGTTATAAAACACGTCAAACGTTGGGACTGCATTGCGCCAGCTGTCGTCAATCACATCTATAGCAATGGTTCACCTGCTCTACACCTTGTTGCTCAAATAGTTCGCACTTATTTCTATCCTAATTATCCTGGGGTAGTAGAAGTAAAGATAATGGGCATTAGGCGAATATATGCCATTCTCAAAAGTAAAGCTCAGATTCGTAGTTTTAATTTACACTGATCAAAGATACACATGAAAATGAATGTGTTAGCACTTTAAATGACTATAAACAATTAAATGTTGCACTCATATTAACCTTATCAACATTGATCATGGGGAAATCTTAACATTATCAGAGACATATTTTTCGTCGGTTGAACATTAAATGTAACGGTTTGTAAATTTGGATTCCTCTTGTCTTAAATGATCTCTTTCAGATTCGGTGTTATGAAAGAACAAAAAATAAATAAATAAATAAATAAATAAATAAATAAGTAAAAATAATAAATAAATAAAATAAATAAAAATAAATAAAAATAATAATAAATTGTTTCATATATTTAATGAATTATATTTTGGTATGATCAATTGATCAATATAAACGTGTGTATTTCACGGATTATCTTTCCATCTATTATTGACAGACTCGTAATAAGACAAGATTTATTGCAGTTGTCGATATCAAATATCCCTGAAAGTAAAAATCTCATTATTTCATCTGCTACACGGATTATATCAAGTTCAATGCTCAAAGTCAGCGACTATATATGACCAAATTAATCTTATTTATAAAATAAACCCAAACTGTCCAAACTCAAGCGCTATTAATTTGTACATTCAAGGTAACTAATTGCCTTTTTAGTGATATATATATATATATATAATTTTAGCCTATATATAATCTGTTACCATTTGTTCGTTTCTGTCATTCCTGTACTATATCATCCAAACAATTATTAAAAAAGAAAACATTTTTATCATCATACGATTGTTCTTAAGAGTGTATATACAATAACACCAAATCATGAAGTTCTTTGAGCTTTGTTTTTGACAAATAATTGTCATAAATCAAACTTTTTTCACCAATAAGCCTATTGAATTCAATTAAGTCGATAATTCCAATCTAAGATAGCTTTGATATATATTACCTATAAAATCACTCCAAATAAAGATAAAAAGAAGTACATGTATTTCATTAAGCGATATATAGTGTTAAATGTATATTTTCTTTTTCCGATTAATATAGTACGTAGCTTCGCGCACATCGTAAGTAAACCCTGTGCAGTGTAATACCTACACCACTAAGACAGTATATGCAGTCCTCGGAGGAATAAAAAGCATGTCTGGAACGGAAATTGCCACGAACTGTATAGGCAATATTTTTAGCATTTTTCATCAAGTTTGTACTGATCAATGTCTTCATAAAGCTTCTCCTCAAACTTCTCAAAGGTAAGGACGTCGCAGTCTCTCATCAGGAAGTCGTTCAGGGATACTGTTATTTCTTTGAATGAAGGTCGTGAACTTGGAATGTCCTCCCAGCAAGACAGCATGATGTTATACCTAGCACATAATAATATATATTTTCATTGTTGATAAAGTTGTTGGAAAAATATCGCATTACAGAAATATATCATATTAGTTACCTGTTTAATTTTCTTTTCTATAATATATGTACATTTTAAGCATTTTATTGAACATAGATTAAATGCGCAATTAAACATATTCTGAACAAGATATTTGAGCTATGTTGTATGTGGTGGCCCTATGAAGCGATATATTAGGATATACCAACATGGAAACCGCAAATGTGGAAGAATAACGTTAAACACAGTTTGAGGACATATGTAAAAATACTAAGTATTAACTAAGTATATATCTCCAACAAGGTATTTTTACAAAGGCTTAAGTGTGGCACAGTTTTTATATTTTCGTAAAGCGAGCCAACTTACTACTTATTTTATTGTAAATGATGCACGGAATTCAAATATGAACCAGGTTAGAGTATTGAGTGGTGTACGCATTTATTACTTATGCACATGTTTTGGGGTGTAGCTATTATCGATATATTTTGTTTCATTTGCCTCTATTACCACTCCTCGGGGAAGTGTGTTTGGGGGTGGTGGTAAAATATCTGGTGCAAATCCTCGATATTTTGCCAGAGCACAGACACAGGCCATGTAAACGGCTACAAACCAATCCAGTTAATAATAATAATAATAATAATAATAATAATAATTATTATTATTATTATTATTATTATTTACCTAAAACTTGGTATACCAAAGTAAGAAGATTTATTTTTAAATTTGTTTAAGATAAGATATATAACTTACATGTCCTGTGAACAATGTGGTGGTTGCGGCATCCGGTATCCCTCAGTTATAGCTTCCATCACCTGCTTGGCCGACATACCGGGGTAGGGACTGGAACCTGTACAAGATTAAAAAAAAAAAAAAAAAAAATATATATATATATATATATATATATATATAATAAAGACATTTAAGGCAGCGTGGCATTTGTAATACATGATTCATATAGGTCTTTAATCAAAGACAATGGTAATTTAGAATTCTAAAGGTTTTGACAAATTGCCAAAAAAGACAAGACCGAACACAATTATTAAGAGGCAATGCCCCTAGTTTACTTAATATTCAGAGTATAACTATACTGCATTTTATTTGTGATTATTGATAGAAAAGAACAAATCGCATTTTCACTGTTAGGTACACGCACCGGTGCATGTACCCGTGGCTGATTAATAGCCTATTACTCACCTAGTGTGACAATCTCCCAGAGCAAGACGCCATACGCCCAGACATCAGACTGTGTGGTAAATATGTTGTCAAACAGAGCTTCTGGGGACATCCAGCGAACTGGTAAACGACCCTGCAGAAAGTTAAAATGAAACAACTCTGGTTAAGTACTAGTACTCTATGTCATATTACAACATTGGTTGTAGAAAGTTGTTGCAACAGCGAAAGTATATAAGACGCATGACTCACAAACCCAATATGGAGCTGCATTTCACATGCTGTAGTGTCCATAAAAATTGAATGAATTCAAAGTTGTATTCATTTTTAAACATATATGAGTATAGAACAGAAATCCACGACTGTCTCAATTAAAATTCAGTTTTTAATTTTACCATGTCTTCACATTAACCAAAGAGCCCGAAATTGTAAAGTATAATGTTGGTCATTTAATTTCAATTTTTATACCGCGCTCCAATAAATTTTGTAGTGATTCAGTCATGGTTAATTATACATGACGTAAGGGTGTTTTTACAAATATTTAAACTGTAATTCAAGAGGCCTTGCATTAAATACAGTATAATATAATAGTAATATAAAAGTTTATTATGCAAATCGACTGAACATACTGACAATATTTCAGTTTAAATGATCCAAAACCCTTCATAATAAAGTGCAGGATTTATGCATACCTGAGTTTTTTTCTCATACTTGTGACTTTCAATGACGTCCTTTGCAAAGCCGAAGTCAGAAATCTTGCAGGTCTTGTCTTCGCCCACCAAAATATTTCTAGCAGCAAGATCTCTGTGGAGAATCTGAAATACATTTACACCAAATAATTTAGACAAATTCTTAGAGTAGATTAATCTTAACTATCTAAAAGCTGTAACCAAATTACTCAAATCAATTTCTATCGAGAAATCCACACAACATTCCTATTTGAATGTCAAATACAATGTGTACAGCGCAATAATTTTACATTTAACTGACGTACAATGAAACAATCGTATTGCTTATTATTCTGGTAAGCCACAAAAATACAAATCGATGAATCGGGTTTAGTAACAACGCTGTGTTTTCTCAACTACTGTTACAACCCTGCAGCGAACTTACGGCGTTTTGGCAATTTGCACTTACTTCCATTGAAGAGAGATGCACCATTCCACTGGCCACGTCTAAGGCGAATTTAATCAGATCACGTGATGTCAAGGAAGAGCTGATGCCGTACAAATTTCCGTAAACTGCTTTGTTCTGCGACCGGTCTTTACGAAGAAAGTCTTGCAGATTTCCATTTGGAATATATTCCAGGACAATCAATGGTGTACCTAAAATTTACAAAGTCCTTTTTTCATATGTTGCCCAGCATCTATGGCTTACTTACAGTCCTATATATGCATCTTTAATATAAACGTAACTTTTTTCTAACCTAAAATATAATATATTCACAGCGTGAATGGTTTGATTGATGCATAAAACACAGATAATGATCTCAAACGAATAATTTATGCAAGTGGAATATCTCAAAAGACAATACGATTTTTGAATCTCACCACCGTCCATCGTACAAGCAGCAAGTAGCTGAATCACATTAGGATGAGGGCTAAGTGTCTTCATCACCTTTATTTCATTCTTGAGATCGTTTAGGGCAGCTGCATCTTTGTCATCTAAATAGAGTTTGGGAAGTAAGTAAGTAAGATTTTTGGTTGAATATAGTTTTTTAAGACGACACCACATATTGAAAAGATTTATGTCAAAAGTAAATAAAAAAGCATTACCTTCTATTGTTTTCACTGCTACTGCTGTCCAGCATTTGCGATTATTGAGGTCGAATACCTTGCCCATGAATACTTGACCAAATGCTCCACTGCCAATTTTTTCTAGAATCTTGATATTTCGCCTTCGTATTTCCCAGTTACGCTTTTGAATATCAGCAAAAACTGAATCTCCACTTACCTGAAATCAACAATCAATACAATTATAAAGCGCATACAATGTTATTGTACATGTGCACAGTACAGTGCAGACACACCAATTGTTTCAGATCGCAAATGCTACTGGACTGCAATCATATCATCGAATAAAAATGGATTACATATGGATATATGTACTAAACACAGAAGTCACACCTGATCATTCCCTGATTTTAGAACAGTGTAAGTGGATTCGGTGTAATCAGGTGGGTTAGGTTTTTCATACACTTCATCTTCCTGAAATGGAACAAAAGGAAGCATGTGAACCACAACGCGTCATTAAAACCTGTTCATATTTGAAACAAATCATATTTCAATCTGTTATGTCAATTTGGTGATTTGGCATTTTCAGTAAGATGCCTGAAATACTGTTAACAAGTTGCAAATGTATTTCAGTAGTTTCAGTATTTGAGTTATCAATAACTTCCCCATTACCTTCCTACTCTGTATAACGGATAACTCATTGGCGCCATTTCTTCTGTTCCTGTTAAAATTCCTGTTTGCTACAACATACAACAGATACGATGAGATACAAAATGGCTTTGTGTCAGGTAGGGCGTTTGCATTAGTATTCAGAAAGTATTTGTAAGCTTTTCATCGTCTATAATCTCACACATACCATTATTGTGTTTTTGTCTTCTACGTCTCAAATATATAAATGCAAACGCAACAGTGACAGTGACCAATACCATTGCAGCTAACACGCCAACCACCACCCCCACAGGGGAACTGCCTTGAGCCACTGGTCCTTCTACAATAAAAGGAAACATTTCAATGTTGCTCAAGCATATTAAGTCCCTCAGTCTGATTGTAAGTTGATATTCCATAGGTACAGTGATAACTTTCAAAGTTATATCAAATGCAGAATATCCTACATTGTGTTTATAAAAAAAATTACAAAATTTGATTATTGGTGTCTGCTATAGCTCCAGAAAAATAATAAGCTGGCGGAATTTACTGAAATGACAGTATTCTTTTTAACACGTGACCTGAGAACATGCTAAAAACTACAGTATATACATACTTTGTACGAAAGGTAAAGAAATATTGACCACAGCATCGTCTCCTTGGTACACAATCAGAGATAATTCGTATTGACCATCACCACCGGGCAATATTATATCAGCTGATGTTGTTGTCACGTTATTAATTTTGAGTGTATCACACAGAGTTGTTCCTTGAACACAGTACTGTATTCCATAACTTGTGAAGTATCCTTCAGGTGGGGACCACTTCACTGTAGCTACATTACCTGATACACTCACTGTTAAATCGAATTGTGTGATCACTGGTTTATCTAGAAAGTATAGTGAAATATGCAGGGATTGTACTTTTCACAATTTCTTTTACATTGCAAAATAGTCAAAATTACAATCAGAAGCCATATAAGTGAAACGTTACTACATTTGAGTAAAAACATTATCAATGTTTTCGACACTCCTTACATCACTATTTCTATCAAATCATAAAGTAATTCTGTAAAATTTATTAACACCACCCGCATGAAAATGCAGTAGTATCGAAGTAGCAAAGAAGCATTAACGCAGTAGTGGTGTGGAGCATATTTGCAGTAGAAATGCAGTAGAGCCTACTGCAATTCTACTTCAAAAATTACATAGGGTTGTACAGAAGAGGAGCATTAATGCAGTAGATTAGCAGCATGATAGAAGCATGTTTCAAATATGCTAATTAGCTCCCCAATCGAAGCAGATTTGAAGCATGTTTGCAGTATGATTGCAGTAGTCTACTGCGCTGGAGTATCTACTTCGTTTTCGTGCGGGCAGTTTAAGTTAAACTAGTTGATATCGACATACATCTGCCGATTAAATTGCCAATTTGATAATTCTTCTAAATAAAATTTCTTTGTTTGTAATACGTATTGTAATAAGTTTAAATTGTGTACCTTTTGTGGTCACTCTAAATTCATTAGAGAACCCCCCACTGCCTGCGAAGTTGAATGACAGAACTTTGAAAATGTATTCTGTGTTTTCTAGCAAGTTTTCCACTTTGGCTACGACATTTTGCTTGTATCCTGGATCTGGTATATCAGTTATAGTCCGCCAATCACTACCAGACACTTTATAAAAAATGTAAAATGTTTGAGAGTAACCACCATTTTTGTTTGATGTCCACTGAAGAGTGACTGATATTGCTGATGACCTCAAAAGTTTGAGGTCCGACGGAGGGTCTGGTTTTCCTAAATACATAAAAAACAATTCGTAAAAGTAAAGCATTGATTTCGTTTAAATACACAATACGATATGATTTTTTTAATTTAAATTTTAAAATAGCTTATTAAAGAGCCCATGGGAACAAAATTTGCCGATAATAAAAGACCACCTACCCCTTCTTTCTAAAACAAAAACAAACTGGGACACTCCAACAGCATTGAGTACAGTACAGATATATGTACCATAATCATTGTCCATAAGATCTGGAATTCTTAATGTGGTTTCCTGCCTCTCGATATTTGTTTCTTGTGTGGAATTTGCTGGTAGATTTCCATTTTGTTTTGTCCACGTGTACACAATAGCAACAGGATTAGCTGTGACATACAGTGTTAACACTGCCTCTGTGTTGATATCCATGGCGACCTCTCTGTTTGTTATTTTATCGGGATTGAGATCAGCACGATCTGAAACAAAATACCGTAAAAGTAAAAAAAATATATATATAGGCACTGATTCACTTATCCAAACCCGAAGACTGGTCTGGATGACTTAACATGGGACAGTGCTCGCGACCGGTGCTGTAGTTTGTGGGTTGAATCCAAAAACCATAAAGTGGGGAACTAAGTCAGTACTGCTGAACAACTCGTAACAGAGTCTATGTAGAAGAAAAGCTTGCGCTTAAAATGTATACCCATTTTTACAGTTGTTTTCAAACTCAATATTTAACGTAATCAAAAACCCATTATTATTTAAGAGTAATTGATTATACATTCTTTGTACACTTCAATTACATACAGCTGCTGTACATGCATTGTAACATAACTCGTTACAGATTATAAAATACAAAACAAAACTCTTACGCTGAACATTTATATACGCCATTTTCTCTGTTGTATTTCCCACTGAATTGTTTGCTTCACAGGTGTAAAATCCTTGGTCTGTTCTATTGACTGTATTACCAGTACGACCAGGTCCTGCCAGTGTTAAGGTACTGCTAACTGTATCATACTGTGTCTCACTGTTAATTTGGCTTGTGTTCAGTACTGTATATAACTGGGTGCTGACAAGTTGACTGTTAAATGTCCATGTTATACTGGGCACTGGTTTTCCTCTGGCTTCACACCTTAACTGGACAGATACATCACTCTCATTGACTGTGATGTTCTGTGGTGCAGCGCCTATATAACTGGTAGCTGAAACGTAATATAGAACACCTTGATTGAACACTATCCTCCATTAAATGACTTCTAACTGAAAATTTAAACTTCAAGGGTTTTTGAAAATGTGCTTGATGCAGTAAAATGCCCATTTGATGCAGTATGTACAGTATGTCTTAAAAGTAGACATTTAGTAACATGTAAATAAGAACATGTATAAAATACTTTATGCGAAAGTATAAAAACCTCGGCGTACAATTTAATAATTTACCTTTTTTATATTTTGTGTAATGAGATTGCATAAGGCACTAATGATTCAAACGTACATTTGTATTTCAGGAACAGCATATTTAAAGGTGTGCTGGATGTTCTCATAATGATGGTGTGTTATGTTACTTTAATTCAGGACCTAAATGAAGCTTCACAGGGTGATACCTAATATTTTGAAAATTGAGTATTTTCAAAAGTAGCAGGGCAATATTCAATATTCTGAAAAATATACACAGCACCCAAACAATGACAGCCATATGAGAAGTAGACATTATTGGACATCTATGTAACTATAGCAGTGGGGATAATGGTACTTACCATGCACTACCACCATAATGCTAGCAGCCTGACCGCTGCCAACACTGTTATATGGTCTACACTGATATGTCCCAGCAGATGTTATACTAATTGGTGATATCTGGTATGTTAACCCTGTCCTGGCTACATTAGACTGTCCAGGAAAAATCCACTCAAAGGAAACAGCTTCTGGGTTTCCTTTGTCAACAAACTCACATCTCAGTATTGGACCTGGTGTCTGATCCTCTGTGACCGTCACAGGACTAACCACTGCTGTTGATCTATCAGGAGGATCTGAAAGAATGCTTTATCAATCAAGCTTAACATAATAAAAGTACAATGAACCAAAACATAAATACACGAAGAAGACAGGTGATTTATTTGTATGCCATTATCAACAATAATCATAATTATCAGCAATAACAATAAATTCCTTAACAACGTTAATTTGTGGACATCACAGTCGATGGTAAATCAATTACCCCTGAGTAATGGCATTAAGAGCAAGGGGAGCGTCAAATTTTCAGTTCACAGGGGGTCTCATGCGCAGCATGAACAAAAGTTGCAGTTTTATTATCTATTATATCGACTTCATAAATTTTTTTTCGTTCTCATTCATGTCAAGCAATAGCAAGACCTACTCACATGTGATATTCAAGACGGCAGATTTCTGTAATGGCGTAGATGTTTTGTAAGTCATCAAACAATTATACTGATCTCCATTGTATTCTTTCCCAGGTCTGGATAGAGTAAGTGTGCTGATCACATTGGTGCCTTGATTAGAAGTATCTGTACTGGTGGTGGTATGAACTGCTGTTGTAATAATTGTGGTAGCCCCGCCCCTGACCCGTTGCCATGCAACAGTGAGAGCAGGGTTACTGGCAGACGATGTTCTACACGACAGTGTGATGTCTTGGGAACCTGCTCTTACTGGACCGCTGGGTGACTGGGACAGGGATATAGCAGAGGGGGCAACTAGAATGACATGAAATTATTAGGGGACTTTGTTTGAGATCCATAGGATTCAGTACATCAAGAATATTTTCTTGATTTCACTACGAGGAAAAGATGACACTAATTATTGACTGTTACTATCGATGTATTCATCAATGTTGTTCTGATCCAAAAATGTCTAGGAATATTACAATATGTCATTGTTCGCTGGCTAATCTGCAGAATACTGATATAATAAATGTGTAGGTAACACAAGTGCCTTCTCAGGTATAAGTGGAAATATAATGTATAAACTCACACTGCACATTGGTCAGAGTTATCCCAGTAGATGTTGTTTCGCCAGTAACACCAGTTGCAGTGGCTTTACAAGTAAATGTAGCCTGGTTATCAGTGTCCAGTATGGTTCTAGTGTACCTCAGTGGTGAGGATCCTGTATTAGATACTGCAGTACTTCCTCTGTATATCTGAAGTATTGGTGCTGGGTTACCATCTGGTGTTGTACACTGGAATACAACCTGGGAACCTGCTTGAATGGGGTCAGATGTACTTTTACCAACCAGAGATAATGATACTGATGTTGGAAGGTCTGGAATTAACATGCGTCGTTAGTATTGCATGTGAGTACTGTAATATATGAACCTGAATAAAATTACTGATGAAAATGTCATTATAGTGAAAGCGGTAATATGTATATCTAACATCAGTACCGTTCAATCTGTTAACCGAATGAACAGGACTATGTAAAAATTTAACACTCATCTTTCTTCAATAATTTCTTTTGATGCACGGGCTTAAATCATCAATATAACAAGAAATCTTGAAGATGAATATTTAAGTTGTCTAGATTTGTGTAACAACAGTTACGGGTTCTTATGTAAAAAAAAATATAGTACACAGTGACACTTACATAATATATTAAATGTAAACATGCCAGACTGTTGCCAAGATACATGGTTACTGACGTTACAACTGTACGGTCCTGTTTGGTTTGGTTGTATATTGCTAATTGTCAACTCACTGCCAGTCTGCTGTAATGTATTGTTCAGGAGCCACATATATGTTATGGGTGTCGTCCCTGAAGCTGTTATACAACGCAGATGTGCGGTGTCTCCCATGGTCACATCATGTCCTGTAGCACGTGAACGGGATACAGAAACACCCCCAACTGGAACTGAGAGGAATGGTTATATGCAATAACTAATTGACAGTGTTTTTTTTTTTTTTTGGCAATTGATTGTGATGTTTCAAAATGTTTTAAGATGTCTTTCCACTTGCAGGGGTCTTGAGAGCAACATTAAATTCAAATTATTCATCAAATCTGTACTGCAAGGCCCGCACCTACCAGATTATTCTTACCTGTAACGTGAAGGCTTGTAGTTGTATTAAAATACCGACTATTAAATGGTGAACATGTTGATGGGTATGGTAGTGTAATCTTCACCCCACATACATAGGTACCAGCATCTGCTGCAGTGACACCACTGATGACAAGTGAGGCTGGAGGCTGGAATGACAACCTTTCATTCCACGCTGGCTGTAGAACACCATTGGGACGTACTGCAGGTGAACCAGTTAAGTTGCCTACATCTAGTTCATATTCCTGTGGATTCCATGACCACTTCACTTGGTACACCACAGCAGCAGGAGTAAATGAACACTGCAGTGTTACACTGTGTCCAGTGCGTACAGAGTAAGACGAAGGTATGATGACACTGATGACGTCATCACAACTTGGCAACGCAGCTGAAAAATAATACGATTACAGTACAGGGTACTACATGTGGTTTTTCCAACTGAAATTTATACATATATTATAGGTACAAAGAGACACATTGCTTTATATTGTTTGAACTGTTCAGTATGGATAGACTACTAATATATTACCGTATCCTTATCTGTCAGCAAAGTAGTTGTTGCAAATAGGTGATAAGGTACATCAGGTTTTATTGGGGTCTTTCGTAGACCCCTTCATGTACTTGCATCATGCAAACAGGAAATGTAGACCCCCCAGCAGATTGCTGAGAAATATAGTTGATTATCAGAAGACATTTTTGATGTTGATTCACGTCTACGCGATAGAATGATAAGTATATTAAATTAAGTGCATAACACACATGTGGTAAATATCACGGTATGATAGAATGAAAAAAAATCAAGACAGTGCTTCGGTATTGGTTAATACCATGCATTTTTTTATTATTTCAATTCGAACGTTTTGAGTTTTTTAGTCAGTTGGTCGAAAAGATTACAGTGTGTAGACCAAGACGGAGGCATCTTCCGAGAGGAGGAAGAGTGATAAAGATTTTACTTACACGATGTCGAGGATTATAACCAGGGTGGTTTGCATTACATACACGTGTCAAAAAATTAAGATAAAAGTTGTACTGCTTATAACCAGTCATTTGTATCCGAAGCCATTCAGGCGTTTTTTCTCCCTTAGACTTATACTATGGACACAGAAATATTCCTGTTTCGTCTAATCCAGTGTAGCAAAGCGTGTTTTAGCTTTTAAAATCTGTACACATGTACTTGTTAATTGAAAGCAAGAGGAGCGACTGTATATGTATAGCATCATCGATCTACTGATTGTCTTTACCACAATACACAATGTAAAATGTGAAATAAACAAATGAGCGCTTCATCCTCTAATACTTTGTCTGAGTTTATACTATAAATATTTTATATTCGTGTAATGAATTATAACATATCTACAAATTGAAATATTAAGTGTACTATACCAAACGCAATTTAATTGCAATCTGTCTTTCAGCTGTTGCACATATCGGTATATTATAACTATCTTTTGAAAGGAAAAAACGTTTATGAAACGTTAGTTTTGATTGCTTATAGATGAAATACATGCATTCTCATAGGTGAATAACATTTTTCAGACACACTTTTACATTTTCTTTATTTTTACCTGTTATGCTAGCAATGTGAAATATCCAGAAAACCCCTAGTTTCTCTGCAATATATTTGTAGAACTTCGTCATCTCATTCTAAATAAAGAAGAAAAAAATATTAGTGTACAATCCAATGTACAATCGAACACTATTCTTCATTATCAAAATATAATTTCACTTAGGGGTACACCTGTTAGCACGATACCTTGTAATCGTGAGCTCTGCTTTGTTGAGGAATCTAAACAACAAAGATATTTTTCAGAAGGTATGCACCTCTCCATTACTCCATCTGACAATTATGCCCGGTATAGTGGCGTACACAATTTTATTCAGATATATGAAATACATTAATACCCACCATGACCCTTCCTCGGAGAAACTTCCCCAATTACATTTTCAATTTTCTTATCTGCACCTGGTTAGCAACAACAATAGATGCACAGGGCGTTACATATTTAAGGTTTAAGTACACAGTAAAAAAATCACCGTCTATTAGGCAAAACTACAAAATTTATCAACTTACAAGTAACTCAGGGGTATACGTAAGAAGGAAGCCCACGATCGGCATAAACACGCCTGATACAAAGGTTACAATAGTTATAAAGAATGTCACCCCCTGTACAAATGTATTACTAGTTAAACTATTGAAACTGGTGGTAGTTACGGATGCATTTACAAATAAAAGCTTATGTTAATTAGTTAAAATATGCATACGTACAAGCGCCGTTGTGCTTCCATAATCATGTCGTATTTTATGAATGAGCTGAACGTTATGTAAGCCTTACCTGTTGATAACAAGACACAAATAAAGAAAGATCAGGTATGAAGTCTACTACTAAGGTCAGTCGATTATCCATCGAGAACAACACTGATTGAAGTTGATATTCTCGTTACATCACATAAAGAGACGTACTCCTTTCATGAAAGTACTTGTATTTTAAAATCCCATTGGTGTCATCTACTTCCTCATCCTGGCTGTTGCCGCGTTGATTGACCTGACCTCAATGACAAATAGTACAGTCGTATGCATCGGTATAAAAATAGCGCTTAGGTCAACACATTCACTTATTCCACACAGGTTACGAAGTAGATGCAGAGGAATGTGAATTGGAAGCTGATTTAAACATTTTTTCCTCTTTTTTAGCATCCAATATATATGCAAGTGGTTGTATGGTGATATACATATAAGTATGAGCACCCCAGATGCGTTTCCCGTGATGTTTATCAAAGTCATTTGAAAAATATTTTTATATGAAACCAAACATTGCACTTCTTACTGCGTCATGTGGTTAACTTGAAAGATATTTATCAGAGGGTAGAGTCTAGCAGCAATTCCCCAAATTCCTCGTCCATTCATTGACTTTATCTTTTTTGGTAATGTTTCATTAATATGCATTATTATTATTTCGAATCATTTGTCTTATAATAACTCTATCCTTCTGCATTATGCATTTTATAAGCCGAATTTCATTATTCAAACTCTTAGGACCAATCCCTTTTTCGACTGCTTGGAGAATGGATGTAGGCTTCTTCTCACCATTGGCCCCAAGGGAATGACCTGAGAATGCCCCTCAAGGTGATGTCCCTCAGCAAAATGAAAAGTTTGTTGCAATATTGCTGCAAACTAAACGACAAGCGTGCCCACAGAGGCATGATCTCCCCAAGCACAGTAATATTCTGTTAAAACTTCAAATAATAGCAATGTACGAGAATGATATTTATATATCGACATGAAAAACATAAATACTCTACCGAATGTGAAAATCGCCCTCATCAGTACACCATACACCCAGACATCACACTGTGTGGAATGCATGTTATCATACAGAGCTTCTGGAGACATCCAGCGGATTGGATAACGGCTCTTGTATGAAAAAATGTAGTATTAGACAACATGTGTAGTAGTTGACGTGTTTCCCAAATGCGAACTACTAACATTTTAGTTTTTTGTGGGGTATTTACGCTTTATAATTTACAACCAGTGGCGCTGAACAGTTTAATGAAAAGAAAATTTTAAATATTTAGAATAGTTCTAAAAATCAAACCCTTAGTACTTTTGACTTTCTCTTATACTGGTGGCTTTCAAACCAGTCCTTGGTCGAAATCTGAAATCTTGCACGTCTTGTCGCGTCACCCTCTTGCTTGGTACGCGATATGTTAACGTGATACGGGGATGCCGCCTTTGCTACTTCGAAGCACGTACTGATACACACCTTGGAAACCGGTAACTTGATCCGATCTACGGTGTATTTTGGATCCTTCCGTGCCGTGTCTGGATAGGCCTAGATACATTTTGGGAATCTGAAGATATTGTCTTCGAATAAGCGTGCGTCAAGTCTTTGCACTGTAATGTGCGTTTTCATTTATTTGGAATATTCAAACATTTTTTTTATTTATGTCTGCGGGTCACTGATATCTTATTTCGCATAATTTACTGTAGTAAATGACCAACAATACTGAATCTTAGAAAATAATATATTAACAAAATAAGTTAAGTGTATTCATACATGTATGCTTGTCTCAAAGATTAAGACATGCATGTCTAAGTACATACTTTCACATATGATGTCAAAGACACCTTTGCCATGTAAAATTAAACTATTCTGTTATGTAAGCGATCATTCCGTAAATATGTCTGTAGATCTCCGTTTTACAGGTACCCTGTGGTTATCATAGGTAAACCTGAAACATACAGATGAAAGCCAAGGGATCTTATGTCCAATCCACTTCTGGCTAGCACATCAACCCAATAGCTGGGGAAAGGTAGACGAGATACTTGCTCTAATTGTCTGAACGGGACACATATTTATTCACTTCTGTCCTGTTGCCAACCACGGCAACGGTGGACTTGGTGTGATACTTACAGTACACTGCCTGGATTTTCTTTTTTAATAACACTCGCGAAAATTCCAGATTTTACAGACTCATTACATCATCATATTTAGCATGACGAGTCTTATTAAATATTTGATGTATAAAATGAAAACGTGCATGAATTCGTGTTAAGAAGGAACTTGACCGTTCACAGAAGGACCAAAAACTGTAGCAGGCCATTGTTTACCTTAACCTTAAATGTGCCGAGTGAAATAAAAGAGGATGCCGAATTTGTACTGGGCAGTGAGACTAATGGAATATACTGTGATGTGATAGTTGTGGTCGTTGCAGTCTGTGCCAGCTAACGCAATGATCGATCACCGTGAGACATGGACTTCACAATATTATTATTTATGCTGAATCGTACTGTTAAACCTTTAGATATATCAGTGAGTAATTAGTAGTAAATGTTACATAAATATTGTGAACGAAGTAACGCGTCACTTCATTGCTCATTCAAAGACACTTCATTAGCATACAGTGGTCCCAGCGTATTCGTAATTATATATATAAATTGCATGAAACTCTCTTGCTGGAAGAACCTACCGAGCACGATTTCGAAAGACGGAAACGTTCATATTTTCTATGGCGCGAAAATGCACTTTGATCGACATAGTTAATTCTAATAGAACATATCACTTGTGATTTGATTCACCACATGTGTTTACTATATTCCTTTGCCTTTAGTATAATTTGTTGGGAGCTAAATAAAAATTATGCTTCAATTGCGAGGCAATTAAAATCGTATTAGACTAGTGCTTATTCCAAACTAATTTCCTTCGATTCATTTTGTACAGTTTGCCAAAAATCTCATTATCGAAAACAAGGGGTAATCAAGCCACATTAGACACATTGCTCAAACGGTGTGTACACCTCATAAAACCCAAGGGTTGTTACAAACATCAAATGTTCTTTAATTATCAGCTGCTGTATCATCGCAGATACAAAATGTTTAATTGCTATAAATGCAAAATAAATATTCAATATACCCCTGGGCCCTGTAAATAAGCTATTTTGGAAACAGAATTAATCTATTAAAACAAAAATGCCTATAATTCCTCAAAGAGAGGTACATGTACAACTAATTTCGTCAATCCATACACGTATCTCTAAAGCGATTTACATACAGTTATTGATATCAATAGCGCGTGTGACCCCTACGTACACGATAAATGCCTACATGTACTACGCGCTGGGGCGTGCTGTTTCCTTGTGCCACCTATATTTTAAAGCCCAATTCTTACATTATACTGGATCTATGAATAACACATTTAATTGTACGTATCCTTTATGTTCATGGTGATGTCTGGAGGATATGAAACAGAACACTGGCTATGGTCGCACACTTGAAGAATGATCGCGATGCTCCGTAGCTACATCCAGTATCAAATCCTCGGCGACTTATCGTATTTCATTATGGGGTTGCAGGTCAGTATAGATTGCTGTGTCACGGCCTTGCTGGTCAAGAACATCATACACACTTTTATCGGTCGAACTCTGAAAAAAATAGAAACATTGGCAAACAAAGTTATTATCCATATACCACCGGTTATATAGGAGCGAAAACTCGAAAAAGAAATAAAAGAATCATACTTCCTTGTAAAACCTTGTTTTCAAACAATGAAGTTCAGATAAATACAACTCACCACTTGGGTTTGTCTGTTAAGGTCCTTCATCTCAGTTATCCCACTTCTCGCTGGTGACTGTCGATCAGGTACATCTAAATGTTAAGAATAATTCAGGTGTATTAAGTTGTACTTTGTACTGGGTGATTAACCATTCTCTTTATTTTGATATAAGCTCTATGTTTTTTTTTATTCTTATTCTGAACTAAGTCGCCACATTGCGTATTACAAATAGTCACTCCTGCTTACACTAACATGTGTAATGCTATGTGTCACTCCTATTAAAACTATAATGTGTACTTATTATTTGTCACTGAATAATAAATACAAAAGCGTCCTACCTCTTCCACTTTTCTTCCTTCGAATGCGACTCGCTACCACCGTTGTTATAATAGCCAATATAAGCAGCACGAGAACAGCAACAACGACACCAGCTATCATGCCTACTTGGTTTTCGACTGGATCTGTAAAAATGAAACAAATATTTGGGTAAATAACAGTCATTAGATACTATAAGCACAGAACTGTAGATAATGCATCGGCCTGCACATTCATATATAACGGGTTATTCAATATGAAATTATACAAATGGTTATACCCCTGTAGCTTACATATCGGTTTCGGAAAATACAATGCAGTCACATTTATAGCATATGCATATTTTCTTGAAAAAGATGGCAAGGGTAAGTTAAATTCACTTTATTATAAAATTAACTATATAGTATGTGTACTTAATGTGGGGTGAATAGTTTGGTTTGGTAAGTTGATGTTTTGACGCCGTTCTCACCTGATGTGGGTTGATCTATAACCTTAACCAGATCATCTTCTTCATAAATCAGTAGTGAGAACGTGTAGTCCTGGAATCCTTCATCTAGGGTTATTACCGCAGAGGTAGCTGTAGTGTTTGCCACTCTCTGCCTGTTACAAACCACGGTGCCTCTCTCACAGTATTTAACCACGTAGCTGGTGATGTCCTCGATTCCACTCGATATTGTCCAACTAACGGTAGCCACAGTGGGCGTGATGGAGACGAATAATTTATCGTCTAGGACGCCGGGTCTGGCTGAAAAAAAAACACGACACAGTAGGTATTATTTCACAGAATACAAGACGTATTGTTCCACTATTAACTGAGAATATTTGCATGTATACTTCAATATTTTATTATACAACTTCTTCAATGCCTAGCAGTAAAGACACTATTAATTGCCTCATAGTGTATTAGATGTGAGGAATGAACCATAAATCATGTGATTAGGCACTGTTTCTGAAATTATCCAAAGCCATATTCTTGCTCTTGGACATAAAAGTTTAAACAACAAAAAACTACCTTTTGGTTTCTGTGTAAAAGCTCCAGTAAAACCACTGCTATTGGTGGACGGGTGTTTGTTGATAGCAACCAAACGAAAATCATATGACGTGGTTGGGTTTAGGTCGGGTACTTTTGCCTTGGATGTCTTCATGTAACCAGGATCAGGAAAGACGAGTCGATCATCCTTTTGCCACCGAGTTCTAGACGTCTCCTTGTATTGAATGTGAAATGACTGATTACTGCCTCCGTTAAACCTGGACACCCATGTTAATGTGACTGATACTGATGTCCAACTTGATATTCTGAAATCTGTGAGCCTTTCTGGGGGACCTGACGTTAAATAAAAGGTAAAAATACATTCACGGGTATCACGGGTATTAAATGCAGCATACACAAAATATAATGTGAGTATTGCTTAACGAATATGTGCTGACGTCCAGCTTGATATTCTGAAATCTGTGGGTCTTTCTGAGGGTCCTGACATTAAAATGTAAAGTGACATGTGTTCATGGATATCGGACACAACGTGTGAAAAATGTTCATGCAGATTAAAAACGAACATGTTATGGTTAGATTCTCTAATGCCAATAAATGAATTAAAGAAAATCCATATGTCAATATTAATATTTGTATCGTTTTACGGATTCCAAACATCATGCAAGATAGATATGAAGAATTCTTTTCATGTACCTTTTGGTCTGATCTCAAAGGTAAATTCCCGGTTACCCACTGTGTGTGACACTGTGCACACATACTGTCCGTAATCACTTCCTTGTACACTGGGAATAAACAGTTTACTTTTCAATGAACTTGGATCAGTAAGGACAATTCCGGCGATAACTGGCACCCTCTTATCACCGTCACTCTTCTTCCAGGTAAACGAAACATTGGCTGGGTTAGCCGTTACTGAGATAGACAATGTGGCTGGTTCGCCGATAGATGCAGCAACTATACGTGATTCCACCGCGATCCTTGGTGAATCTGAAATAGGTTTTATCAAATAATCTCTGATATCTTACTGCGGGGATAGATTGATCTAAAAGCTCTGGGAATACAGCCTAAATGTTTAACATTGTATTGAAAATGCATTCATATTTAATCCATTTTTACTCTCAAATTATGTTCACAATGCATTTTTACTATCGTATACTCCATACATATTTGATTGTCCGATATCACATCCTATTATAATGTCTATACTTACACAATACGTCCAGCCTCTTCCTCCCCAACCCTTGCCCTACGCTGTTTCTAACAACACAAATGTATTCACCGTTGTCTAGATATGTGACACGTGACAACACCAACTCTCTCCCAGATGACACTACTTGAGACTCAGGACTACCAAATGTAATATATGTCCACTTATAATCCGTATATACAGGAGGGTTGCCACGTGCAGTACATTGTAACGTGACGTCATCCCCCTCGGCCACTGTCACCGGATTATCTTTAAGTGTTACCGTGACTGTTGGTCTATCTGAAATTATTTTAAGGACATGAAATTACAAACATGATGTTACTTATGTTGTAAATATTCAGAGTAAATGAAAGCAACAAGGGAATATCTATTAATCGACCGTCCCCCTATGTGTAATGGTTTATCATACATTACAACATGAGATGGGTAGAACTGGTACATGAACTTATCGTGCAAACAAAGTTTTGCAAGCTGAATACAGTAAATTTTCTCGGCGTTATAACTACGGAACTAAATTCCCTATGTGTCCAATCTACGACCAAGAAGAACTTGGGGAACCTCCAATTATTTGAATGTAATGCATTATTGGTTAATTAACCATTACACGTTTAACAAACATCAGACCAACAGCTGCTGTCTCGCTAAATATTTTAATTAATTAACCCAATCATCATTTTTAATACATATCTAATTATTAAGTATGAATTATATCAAATAATTTTAATTAAAATCATTTGCCTCGATTGTTATAATTTACCAATAAGTTTAAATAAATGTGAAATTTGAGTGAATGAATCATTTTATCATGAGGTCTGAGCATTTCAACCAATCAATTAATAAATAATTAAACATGATTAGAGTTGGGCTGCTTGGCGGATTTCTGCGTGGTTTTCTGGTCTCAGATAATATCAGTGGACCTTATGAAGAACACCAAACTAAAAGCTTCATTTAGTATAGAACCATGAGATGACTTTGGCTGATCAAACAAAGATATTCTATGGATCCATACAATTTATGCTCCTTCAGTTTTAGATATATACTCTTTCGCCTAACGTTTAATATACTAACATTGAACTGTCAAAGTCACACTGCTCTCTCCGACCAGGTTGCCATGACGACTGGACTGTGCTGTGGCATAACACGTGTATCAGGCCTACCCAACTACCAGACTCGGCACCTAAGGATCCTGAATTAACCGGTATATCGGACCACGCTACCCGTTTTCAAGGTGTGTGTCAGATTGCATTTCGGAGTATCATACCCCACAGCAAATTTTGTAGCACGACTGCGGGCTCATCCACGCTCGGCTGAACAACCTTAAACTGTACTCTTACTTAAAAGTACTCTATTTTATTGTCTCTATGGGGATATGTGGGGACTTTACGACATTCGGTTTGAATGTTTTAACCATTTTTGATAGGGCTTTTTTGCATTGTATTAGATTAATGTGGCAGTCTAAGGTTCATCTAGGTGGCTTTCAAAATTATGCACCCGGTTTTAAAATCATATAGCGATTTTACGACAATCGTTTACTATCCAATCAAGGAGACAGCCGAGCATGCCAGGGCTCATCCTGTCGGTGTTCTGGCTGATACTCCGAAATGCGATCTGACACACACCTTGAAAACGGGTAGTGTGGTCCGATATACCGGTTAATTCAGGACCCTTAGGTGCCGAGTCTGGTAGTTGGGTAGGCCTGTGTATGTCCATAAGTCTCTTGTACATATTTACAGTCACTAAAAACATGCACACTTAATATGCTCATAAAACATATTTCCTGTTTAATATATCCATCACAGTTACCTTTTCTTTCCAGTTTAAATAAGAACACAGACTGTCCAATACCATTGTCCACACTACATACATAGGTGCCGTAGTCACTGTCTCTCAACTTGTCAACTCTCAGTGTTGATGCATACTCCAGATCTGTCTGGTTGTATGTAGAAGGTAAACTGCCGTTTATTTTCCTCCAGGAGTAAGATGTGGGTATTGGGTAGGCAATGGTATACAAGGTCAAGGTGGCAGACTCTCCAATGTCTGCTGAAACTTCCAGGTTTGTGACACGGTCAGGTGATGGGTCTTTTTTTGCTGCATCTGAACACAAATGACAAATGCAATGATTATCAGCACAATATACTTTATTCTATTTCCGAAATTTGGATTCCAACTAAATGTATTAATATACCACGTTTATGCTTATCAGAAACTGTTTCATGCTGACATACTGCTATCTATCTATCTGAGATAAAAATAAGACTAACATGATTAATGCCCCAGCCCATACACAGTGAATGAGGGAACCATTATTATATGGATTGATGTCTCTAAAACATTTAATTGAAAAGACATAATATGTCACATCCATTAATTCTACTTTGCAGAACAATGTTCCCACAATAATCACTTACATTTAACAGCTAAAGTTCCATTTGAAGTCTTTGTGAACTGGGAGTTACTAGCAGTACATATATATGTCCCAGCATCTGTGTACTGTACATTGTTCAGTACCAGAGGGTTCTGGTTCCTCTGTAGATCTACAGGTTGTCCTCCAGTAAGTGGCAGAAATTGCCAGTTGCTATAAACAAATGAACCTGGAATTCCCTCTGGTTTACAGTGAATGTTAACACTGCTGTTCTCCAGTGTCGCTGGGATACTTTCTACTGAGACACGCAGGTCTGGAATAAAAATAACCATCTAAGCAACTTCAATAATGTTTTTCCTTATAATGATACATGCACATACATGTGTATCTGTCATTTTTTTTCATGTTTCTGAGTATACTTTATTAAAAACATAAAAAGGCCAACAAAATACTTTAAGGTTGTTATCCTTATCTTCAAACGAATGTGTATACAAGAGGCCCCTCAGTCTGATATAATTTCTGATAAAAATCTGTACTACAACCATCATAACCTTCAATAAATGCGGCCGTCGTCGGCCAAATTTCGAACATCATACTTGAGTTTGTTTCATTCTTTTAACTGACATGTCCTATTACTGAAATCAACTTAGATCAAGGAGACATAAAAGATCAATGTACCTTAAATATGTTTTATATCAGGCAGGTCAAGGTGTCTGTAACTATATACTATCATTCCTTTCAGCATGAGTACCTTGATAAACATAATATTATCAGCTTTACTAACATTTAACTGTAATAGTTATACTGCTCTCTCCGACCAGGTTGCCATGACGACTGGACTGTGCTGTGGCATAACACGTGTATGTCCCATTCTGCTCCACCTGTATCTGATTAATGGTATATGAGGCCTGGGTATGGACGCCATTGTTTCTGTCTTGAGTTCTACTCCAAACATAGCTAGTAACTGTTGGGTTGGCCTTGGTTACATCACAGGTCAAGGTCACATCATCTCCTTCTTTAACTGTACTACTTGGTGAGGCTCGCGTTGATATTATGGGGTTGACTGTAACATTAGCAGGTTGATTTATATTCATTCATAAACTTCTTTAAATATTACCATACAAATTAGTAAGCATTCATTACCAACTGGGGTTTACCTTTGGTATCCACTATAACCATGCATCAATAATATACAAATTCATTTCTGATATTCCACATTTAATGTATGCCAACATCCAAAAACCATGAGCATGTGGCCAGTCAAATTGAATATGTATCTCAATCTCAATCTGAGAAGCAATTTTTTGTGTTTTTTAAAACAGTAAAAAGTTTTAAAATTCCACAGGTACATATCACGCTACTCACATTCCACATTCAGTGTGTATTCAGCAGTTGGACTGGTGGAAGGTTTGTTTATAGTGTAATAATTAGAGGCCTCACAGTGATATATCTGTCCATTATCTCTGTCTGTCAGTGGCCCTACAGTAATGACTGATTTGCCAGCAGATTCTGTGTCTGTGATATTGTTGTTACTTGAATTCCACCAGCGGTAGTTTGGTGCAGGATTCCCCTTATCACTGGCCTCACAAGTTAAAGTGGGTGAACTGCCAGCAAGGAGGGGTGTCACAGGGTTAGATGTTATACCCACGTTACTGGGAGGATCTGAAATGATAAATTTCATTAGGCAAATATGAAACAATATAGTTATGAGTCAACACTTTCGCCTTTCATGCAAATGGATAACAAAACATTGTGTAGTTAGGCAAATACGTATATGTGCATGTTCCTAAACATTTATGCAAGTGAATGTGGCATGTAAGTTCTAGCATGCTTTTTCAGCCTGCAACATGGATACAAATTAACATACAGCACTTATGAATTTGTGAGGATCTGGAATGATTTGCTTCAATTACTTTTATGTCCGATATGCAAATGTCCAATATCAATAGTACAAGTTCTATAATATATCAATAATTTTACCTTTTCCACCTTTTCATTTCACGCAGATGGATAACAAATTCTTGTATTGTAAGGTGCAGATGTTCCAAAACATTTCAAATCGGTATCACTGATAAGAAACCTACATTTCAAATTATCAGTATATAAACAGCATTTATATGTAGAAAAAGTCAAGTTGTTACACTGCTGTTACAGGTTGTATCAATGGTAAAGATTATACACTACCTTCGTAGACAAATGGATTGAAAGCTAGAACTTACACGCCACATTCAGTTGAATAGCTGCAGAAGGCCTATTTGTGTTAACATCATTGTAGCCCTCACATCTATATATCCTATGGTTACTGGCTCTGGTAGCATCTATAGGAAGTGTGTATGGAGAAGGTCTGGCTGTGACATCTGTCCATTTTACCATTCCTGCTGGATGTCCACCAACTGTCTGACTCTGACAGTATACAGTAGCGCCATCTAGGTGAAGTGTGGAATTGGTGCAGTTTAGGGACACTGACTCAACTGGCCCTGCATGAGAAAATATGGCTATTTCTTATTAATGATAATACATAAAAGGTTAATATCACACTGGTCACACCGGATATTTGTCACAGTTACATATAGTTCTGTTGAAAAGATATCTGAAACTGAATATTTTACCTGCAATACAATGTGTGTCTGTTTTTAGGTAAATTATAATTATGTACAGTGGTATATTCAGTTTGATTTCATTCATTTTACTTTATACATCAACACAGTATACCTTTTTAAAAGAAGCACAAAATAATCCTATTCACAGTCACATACTTACAGACAATATCTACATTCACAGAGGCCACTGCAGGAGTTGATCCAGAAGCAATATTACTGGCCTTACAGGTGACAGTCTTTGAACCCTGTGTCTTTTGAAACATGTACTTCAGGGTACTTGTGGTTGTAATAAGTTGTGTGATGTTGTCCCTTGGTGAATTACTGTGTGTGACACCAGATGTCACTGCAGTGCCATCTATCTCCCAGGAAACAGTTGCCACTGGATACGCCTTGGTCTCACACAGAAATGTGGTGTCCTGCTGAGCTCTCACCTTGATGTCTGTTGTAGTATTGAGGAGACGGGTTCCCCGTGGAGCAGCTGGAATTGACAGGATTGGAAAATGAAAATCACTTTCATTAAATGTTCAGATTTGTGTAAATCAGTGGTCTGTGCAAGGAAGTATGATGAATATCAGGTTGTCTACAATAAATAAATTAACATCTGGCATATCGGTCAAATAATCAGTATTTTTAATATTACATAAATACGTTAAATATTGTGTTTTAAATAGATGATACCTTTTTTTTTAATGTCAAAGATAGCAAATGGGGCTTATTCTGCCTTCTTAACTGTGCTTTATTCTGCTGGTGTAGTTCTAAATTTCTATATAATACGATTATAGCTGTGGCTAGCTGATCATATGGGTTTTAACCACATTGTACTTGGTTGTATTAACATATAGAAATACTCTTGTATATGTTATTAATCAGGTAGCAGGAGGCCTTTTACAGTGACCCATTTCGCTTATCCTTCAAATGATTGTTATACTTACCAATCACTGTCACAATTACCCTGTTACATTTCATTCCTTTGTGACCACACTCATATCCCCCAGCATCTGAGAACTGCACATTGGATATAACAAGTGTAAAGTTGTGGTTGGTCTGATCACATGGGTTAACACTGTACTTGGTTGTATCAGCAGTAACACAATCTTGTGTCAGTATGGTAGGACTGACAACAGTCCTTCTGGTCCACTCTGTTTGCCATCCAGAAGTCCAAGTGTTCACTTTACACCACAAGGAAAATGATGTTCCAACTGAGGCACTGACAGCTGTGGAAGGCCCAACATCTATATCAGCACCTATGCAAATAAAAATGTCAATTCCATGTCTCCGAGATTATGGGTATTATTGTAGGGGATACATGTACATTCCTTTAACCGAAGCAATCTGAATATAAGCAGATCACAGTACATCCCGATTTTAAGTTTATACATCCATGTCTCCATGAACATATATCAGAAGTATACACTTTTTAACTGATAGGATTAAAACACCTACAAACAACGTATTGCGAGTAAATATAACTAAGAAAGGGGAGTCAAGCCAACTATCACACAGGCATTTGTATTGAAGATAAAAAAACGAGCAATCATGATAGGAATGTTATCTAAAAACGATATAATAATAATAATAATAATAATAAAAAGAGAGAGAGAAAAAATGTAATACCTGCCACAATGTGCAAGTAAATATATGTGATTCCTACAAGGACTGAAAGAAACACTTTCTTCAACCCCCAACGCATGCCTCTGATGTATCACTGAAACAACACAAAATAGTACCCTAATGTCACAGAGTTCATCACTGAAATGTATATGTAACGGTATTTCGCTGGCTTAGATGCATAATAACACTAAATAAGTTATTAACCTTGATAGCTTAAGGGCTGTTTGCACATGAATGACACTGGTCCAACTCGATCCTAATTAAATTCATTTCCCTGGGATTGACAGGCTTTGAGCACTTCGTGTAATAAAGTTGTTTTTGTTTTTTCAAGAAAACAGGTCCAGTGACAACTATTAAACATGGGTAGTCGAAATCTGACGCCTATATAAACAGAGTTGGTTTAATAATTGATAATGAATATCTAGAATCAAAGACTGATGGAGACTGACGCAAAATGTGACCTCGCGCCGTGAAGCCACATTCACTACACATGCATCTTCACACACAGACAGCACACACAAACACACAGACAAACAACACACACACAAACACTCACACACATACACTTTCGTACTCACACACTCGCACTTATGAGGCACGGAGCGACTGTAAATTAATTACTTATTACACCTCAAGAACGACTACTTGCATGTTATACCTACCTGATTAAACTGTGTCTAAAATGTTCCGTCTCGACGCAACTGGTGTTCACCGTATAATACGTTTTACTTCCGCGTCGATCCGCTTTATTTTTAGACGTGACCTGACAAAGTTCAATGGACTGATATATTTTAGTTGTCTTATCATTAAACGGCCTTCTGCTTACATTTTGAGGGGTACTCTCCTGCGTGACAATAAGTACATCAAGTGAATAAGAACGTGTTCACTTTGTTACACCACTGAAAACATATCGTTATTTGACGAGGGTCTAGACACATTCTCCACGTATGGAAGCATGGTTAATTACAACATAACACAAGCAGGTCACACATGAAGATCAGAGAAATAATAATATTGTAAAATTCAAATCAGCTTTATTTCAACTGAAGTTTGGGGCTATATTAACAGTTAAGATGCACCCATAGATCGCAATCCTCAGCCAAGACAGATAGATTTCCATTAATATTAATAATTTAGTAATGAACAATCTAATAACACTAGGTTCATTATAAATCATTGATTGATTAAATGATTAACCCAATTCACGCATTTAATGTTTACATTAACTTTCTGTCTAATGTTGCAAACAGACATACAGATCGACCTATTATATTTATTTACTAACCCGTTTACAACTTAACCATGACGCTTCTGTAAGAACAGCAGACAAACAAAACCAAAATCTTAACCTCCTTGGCTGGGTAAAAATAACCCATTTTAATCGCGAAATCAGCTATATACCAGACCACATGATTTCAAGTTTAACTTCACTTCTACTCATTATAGATTATTGGCAGAACTGTACATTTTAATTGCCAATTAAAAAAGACATATCTGCCCTCCTTGGCTTTCGGACATGATCTCGTTTTTTTTAGCACAGCTGCTATGGCTACCTGAGAGGACTGAAGAGATAGTAATAATATTAGATATAATTTTATGAAGATAAAATTTTATTGAAAGGGTTTTGTCGATTCACTATATGAACTGGGGGAAATATAAGGAGCTTTCAAGAATATTAATATGTCATGTGGGTGGATTTTTCTACGCGTGGAGAGTACTGGTAGATATTCTTAACACGTTTATCAGCTAATTACGGTAATATGTAAGTTGTTTCTATCTTAATTTAGTTACTTTTTTGGGAGGAAAGTGCAGTTACTAGTGGTGAAATCACCCTCATCTTTCTCATTTCCTTAGCGAACTTTCGAGAGACATGCCAAACGTTTTTTTTTTCAATCCCTTGCAACCATAGCGTTATATTTTAATCTGGAGGTTATAGTTAGTAGAACAGTATCACGTGTTATTCTAGCTTATGGTGCCAAATAACAAAAGCCCTTCATACACTTAATCTGATTTTAAGTCCTATGAATTCTTAGCTCATCTGCTTTATGTATTAAAGCATACCAGTTCTGTCTACTGCAATCTATCAACCTCTGTGTAAACAGTTCAACGAAGAATTCACATGCCCACAGCCTTTGTTTTCCCAGAAGTCTCCAAATGAGCATAAACACCAACCCTTATATTTTGATTTCATATGAACTTTTTCGGTTTTTTTTCCATTATCATTTTCAGCTTATTTTTTCCAAAATTCTATGGCGTTTACATCCCTTAGACAATGTAAGAGCTAGAACAAAAACATATTCCGAATAAATGTTTCACATTGCATTTATTTTAATGAAATAGACGTTTTACAGTGTTTGGCTCCTCCAATGATGGTAGGCTTTTACTGTTAAGGCATTCACTGTTCTCTTCAACCTCTTCACATCCAATCAGTGGTGATCTCATATGGACAAAGGATGTCTTACACTATCGTGATTCACTGAGTATGATTCTAAAATATATTTTTATAATTGTATTACAAGTGAAAAAAAAACATATAGATTTAATAAGTTGTTCGCCCACCTGTTATCTTGCCAAAATACCATCATTCAGTTTATGAAAATCAGCAAACAACACTAGATTACATGCCATGGGCTAGCTTAATTACTTGCTTCCAGGTGTAAACAAATCAAATGCATCGTACATGAAAAGGATATGATGGATAAAATTAAAGCAGAGTTTTCCATTCTTTTAATATAGCCTAAACATGGAGAAATACAAATCATCTTCAAAATGTAAAATTGGTATTACGTATTTCTGGTAAAAAATGTTGTTTTTTTTTTATTCGAACCTAGTACGTATAAATACCAGAAGCATGTAAAGCCAACACACAACCTGTGTCAGTTGATATTTGCTGTAAACTGTTTATTTTCCTATAATTCTAACATTGTGTTACCGTTTTATTAGCATGTATCGAGGCCATATTGACTCGATCAACTTGTGTGTAATAATGGATTTGTTTTTTGTTACGCTGATTGTATATATACATTATGTGTATATTGGGGTTTGTAAATAAAATTACTTTGTGCTTTCTGCTCACATTGGAATACATTATATATCTATTGAACTAGAAAAGATAACTGATGATTGGTTCTGTAAAATATGTGCTAGCCTAAAGGAACTTGATTTTTCATCAATACAAACACTGAAATACAATAAATTGCTATATACAAATTCTAAAATAATACCCAAGCCAACATTTGTTTCATCTCATTGCATTGGTAGTTCCTATATCTTGAATCGTCATCTAAAACGCTGATTTTGATGCAGTTTGAGAGGATATGTAAAACTATATAATACTAATACCATGAATACATGAAACTGCATAGGACTCCAGAAAATGCACGATCTGTGATTTGTATATGTATTTCAAACTAGAAAAAGTGAAATAAAAAAATACACAAATAAAATACATACAGGTACTGTAGGTCAACTTTGAGGGTCATATTAACGTGTGTTTGTTATTATCGATACGCAAAGCAGCTTCGACTTTCCCAGGGATATACGTAGTGCAGTGAATAAACTGCAAATAGGTCACGAACACACAATACCGTGTATAATGTAGTACCGCTATTTTGCCTGTACTATTAACTTCGCAAAAATAGAACTCACTCCCTACTAGAAACATTAGCTTCTGAAATTTCCAGCTATCAATTTACAAATATCCATGAAAGCTGTGTTAGCAACTTTCTTTTATTAGCATTTTTCATCAAGCCTAAATTGGTCAATATCTTCATAAAGCTTCTCCTCAAACTTTCCAAGAGTTAGAACCTCGTAGTCTCGGGACAAAAGGTCACTCAAGGACACAGTTATTGCTTTGAACAAGGGTCGTGAACTTGGATTGTCCTCCCAGCAAGACAACATGATGTTATACCTGAAATATACAGTTTAATAAAGGTGTCAGATAAAGTATGAAACTTGTTTTTCAAACACCCTTTTGTGGAATGTTATGTTCTTATGTAAACACATGACTCAAAAGATAAAACGAAAGACGCATAATAAGAGTGTTTTCGCACATGTATAAGATTATAAACCTTACTACGGGTTCTTGCTTAAGTAGTACACCAGATCTATACATGAAGGTTATAACTTACATATCCTGTGAACAGTGTGGTGGTTGTGGCATCCGGTATCCCTCAGTTATAGCCTCCATCACCTGCTTGGCTGACATACCAGGGTAGGGACTGGAACCTTATAAAAGTAACACATGCTGTACAGATCGCATAATCCATTACAATTGTTTTATTACCAGACTAATAATTATGTTAACAAACCTGATATTACAAAAATATATTTAACTTTCTTTATTTCAATTTTAAATTTGTGATATGATATTTTGTTTTGTCCATTCAAAAAAATACAAATAAAGTATCATATAGATTAAATGAGAAACATACCCAGTGTGACAATCTCCCAGAGCAGTACACCATACGCCCACACATCAGACTGTGTGGTAAATATGTTGTCATACAGTGCTTCTGGAGACATCCAGCGTACTGGTAAACGGCCCTGACAACATTTAAGAGAAGTTTTGAAGGAGACATCCAATCAAAGATATTTACTTTTTCGTATGAATAATTACTGATAACATAGAGTACACGTTGTTATCTTTCTGACATGAATATCTGTCAAAATACAATCATGTTGTTAAAATGTTCTTATGTTTTATTATTAGGGATTGTGATTGACGTCAATTTAAAACTGCCTTTTACCTGTGTCTTTCTCTCATATTGGTGACTTTTAATGACGTCCTTAGCGAAACCAAAGTCCGATATCTTACATGTTCTGTCTTCAGCCACCAAAATATTCCGTCCGGCAAGATCTCTGTGGAGAATCTATAATGTGCATGAAATTGTTGCAGGTGTGCAATTAATGTCATCTGAATGCCCAATCCCAATGAAACTATATTATGGTTGATACGTAAATGTGATTGCATTCAGCAAGAGTCACCGCAAATTTGGATGGATATATGTAGAACGGCAGTTTCATTTGAAATGGAAACTTCACTGAAACTGTATAAATCACACTGCATATTCCACCAGTAAAATTCCTCACAAAAAGACCTTTAAACCACCTAACACAAATAATTGAATTCAAATACAAAAGTGTGTGTTAAAAATGAGCAAATTTAGACAAAAACGGTACACAACACTGGAAGGAAAACTCACGGACATTGAGGAAAGAAACATCATTCCATTGGCGATGTCTAAGGCGAACTTCATCAAGTCACGTGATGTTAAGGAGGAGCTGACACCATGCAAATTCCCATATACCATTTTTTCCTTTGATCGATCATTTCTCAAATAATCTTGTAGATTTCCGTTAGGAAGATATTCCATGATAATCATAGGTACACCTAGAATGTACAAATAAAGCAATATAGTAATGTGTTAATGAAACAGCAAAAGCGTTTTGTTGAAACATATACATTCATGCCGCGAGATACATGTAGACTCGAGAAACTCGCCTTATAGAGAAACAAAAAAATTATATCAGGTAAACCATTTATAAAAAGTAAGGACTTTGGTTTTGTAGAATTACATGGATACAAATTACCGGCTGTTAAACTGGAAATTGCTTACATTTTCAGCTGGTATACCATTACTGGGTGATGGGATTACGGCCGTCGAAAGGCTATGAAAGAGCACGGCGGGACAGCTGTGAAACACCAGAAAGCCTTCACATGCCCTTCACCGCTTATTTACAGATGATAATAATTTTGTCCTGATATTAATTTACTGCTGTTATTAGAAAGAGAGGATCTGAGCCATTTAAAGAAACACAAAACTCAGTTGTATCTTACCATCATCACCTGTGCAGGACCCTAGTAGACCAACCACATTTGGGTGAGGGCTGAGCTCTAACATTACTTTTAACTCGTCCAGTAAGTCCTTGATCACAGCTGGATTTTCTACATCTGGAAGCAAAGAGTCAACATAGTTCATGGAGTACACATATATGAGGATGTTTTACTAATATCTGTAAACGTAATACTAAAGCCGTGTCATAAAGCATAAAACTATGTTTATTAATTGAGGTAACCAAAATTAATTTTGTCATTTTTCAAGGTCATGCAGTATTTTTACCTTTTATCGTTTTAATAGCCACCGTTGTCCATCCTTGGTTTCTGTTGAGCTGCAATACACTTCCTTTGTAAACTTGCCCGTATGCCCCACTCCCTATCTTCTCTAGAATCTTGATGTTTTGTCTCAGAACTTCCACGTTTTTTTCCTTAACAATAGTATACACTGGTGCACCCTTAGAGTAAAAACGTGACATCATTAATGTTGTCTTTATGTTTTGAATTTCATCAATGCAATTATTTATTTCCCCATATAAAATCATTCCATTGCAGATGATACTATTGTGCAATCGCCATGTTTGGCCATTAAAAATGTCACCCCAACTATCCGTTGTGATTTATAACCGAACATGATTTTTATATATCATGGGTGTAATATCCAAAAGTCACTGACTATACAAAACATATTAAATTATTTCAGAGACTTAATATTGGTAACATTTTAAGCAATCTGAAATTCCTTAGACTTAAAGAATGTGGAAAGTGAGACTGATATTGGAGTTGTTGGCGGATACTTTAATTGAAAGCATGAACTAAAAGAATTGCACTAAATATAATAAGCAATTAAAAAATGCCCCCTTGTCATAAACTTAAGCCATTCATTTAGTCTGTAGCAAAATAGAAAACTGTAACCCACTGTGGTAGCAGAAGCATTTAATTCGGTGTACACCAAAGATTCCTTTTCACTTCGTATTGGACTTTCATATACCCTCTGGCTGACTTGTTCTACCTAAGTAAACCAAACAAAGATTGAAACGATTTTATATAAGATAGGATAAGATATGGCAATATGGGAAAAGATAAGGCTTATTCAGCCAACAAATGTATAAAATATCCAATATTTGGAATAAATTACTTACCTTATTTATGATTGCCTTTCACATGTCTAAATGAAAATATTTACGTAACAAATTTAAGGAAGATGTCCAGCAGCACAGCAGCAATTAAATAAGATGAAATCAATAACAACAATGTAACATACAAAACTCACTTAAACACAAGCACAGGCAAGCACATTTACAAGCACAGTTATAACCTGACTCATGTTGATGACATCCCTTGCACCGCTCCCCATCTCTGTCTTAGTTCCTGAGCAATCTGAAAAGCGAGTCATACAATGTTTTCAGTTTTTTTCCGTGATCTTTATTATTTGAAGGCATACTAATAGCTGATATAATGGGACTCGTTTAGCCATGTATCAGAGCACTCTTTCGCTAATTATTTGATATTCACATGTACCCGTGATAACCTACCCGTGCATGTAAACAGTTTTCTTCGAACGATGAATAAAACCCCCATTCCGACAAGGAGTAAAATTCCACTAGCAAGACCCCCAACAATGGCTGCTACGTTTACTTCATTAGCGTGGCTTCCATCGCGCTTGGTTCCTTAAATGATTGATGACAAAGGTTATATGAAGATATTTATATATATAAAAACAATATGCACTGAAAGACGCTACCGACGCCACTTTCCTAACACGCGTAATATGTTAACGGACAATCACAAATACAGGGTGTTTAAATAAGCTGTTTTTCAATTATTACCTTAGAACCATGGTAACCATTTATCTCAACAGATTTTATGAAACGCGTTCTTTTCCTTTATTAGTTATTGATGAATCAATACGAAGGGAACAGTTTAGAATCATTTGCCTAATTAGAATTATTTGACCTTACTGTACAATGTGTTACCAACCTTGAGCAAAGGGTTCAGATTTATACACAATATCATCTCCTTGGTAGACAATCAGTGTAAATATATATTCTTTCCCTTCTGTAATACGCACTGCTGCAAATGTAGTGCTGCTGTTATGTACACGATGTTCCACACATATCAGGGTATCCTTAATACAGTACTTGATACCATATGATGTTACTTCACCTTGCTCTGGGGCTGTCCAAGATACAACAGCGATGTCCTTTGAGATTGTCAAAGATGGTTTCTCACTGCCATTGGTTTCAGGGATAATTGGACGGACTAAAATGACAATGTTTGTCTACAGGTAAGAAATGCTTTACATTTATCAACAATTTTTCAAAAATACCCAGTACACGAACATACTATACGCATTATAACTGAACTGTACATGAAAGGCTCACTAGCAATGACGGTCATGTAAATGCATAGACGACGGATATGGTATAGGCTTGGTTATATAGTCCACCCATCCACACATATACATGTACTTTTTAACCAGGCGACTTCTTTAAGCCGTATGTATTCTTCAATCCGTTTTTCAAATATCATGTCGCAGGTTCCTATCCAGTTAACCAATATCAACCTTCTAGTGCACATATTTTGTCGATACCAAAAATATGTCACTTCTGAATGGTTAGAACTCAATTTAAAATTTGTCTCCTAAATGGAATTCTTCCGGGCATTATTTTAACTCCGTATTGTGGAATTGCATGTCCAATATTTACACCAATATTAAAACAAGTATCCAGCAGCTGAGCTCTGACGTGGCCTTCTTTGAGTGCAAGTAGTCTTTAAAGAATGATCATTCAATTGACAAGAATACACATTTAAGAGCAGAGGCAACCCAGACCATAAAGAGATATTCCGTCAATTTTATATGTCAAAAATGATCATCCAAGCTAGTTTATCTTCATAAAAATTGGATAGGCAATAAAACCAAGGTAAGAATATCATGAAATATTTTTCAATGTAATTTTTGAATAGCCATTTTTTTAATGATAGGTATTTTTTTGTAAAAAAAGGCCGTAACTTTATCAGCTCTTTCTGCTGACGTGCAACATGGTTCAAACATTATATAATTATTAATTGACACAACCTTGTATAAATGTTACCAGAAAATGGTTACGTTTAACAGGTTAATATCATTTCCTGCTTATTCTTTTTAGAATAAAAGACATTTAAGTAGTATTACATTCTTATTTGCTATATTATGTATCTTTTCTATAGGGCAGTTCTTAAGATTACGTACATGAAAGCAAAAGGGGTCAAGTTACGAGTGTTTAACTGCATTTACCGATTGATTTAGACTAGAGACATTATTTTAATAATAAAAATCGGTTTTCTTTATTTTACAAATACAATATAAGAAAATTACATTTTTTTAGCTTCTGATATATTTCTGTGTCTCTATATTAACAGAATGTTAGACGATTCAGTTATAGTGATCAAGCAGTGTCATGTTACAAGCTCAGTATTATTGTTTACTTTAATGAAGCCACTAGTAATTGTAGAATTAAATGTACTAGTATATGCGCTGTATGTACAAATTGTCATATGATATTCGTCAGTCAGAGTATAGTGAAGACACGCAAGTTGTAAGCATTACGTAATATGGTCAAATTTTAATTTGATATTTTTTTCTTTAATTTTTATCTGATCATTTTACTACATCAAAATCACTGTATTTTCATTTTCCGGTACTGTAGTATACACACTTCATCGTTCATCGTTTATCAGTGAAAAAAAGTCCCTGAAATTACGTCACATTCCCGTTATATCCAACATCAAATGCATGCAAACTAAACAATATGTCCTTATCTAGCATGTTTCTTAAGGGTACAAGTACATTTTAGGCAAGGTAGACGTAATGTAAATATGCTGATAATCAGATATTTAAGAAGGATATTTATATATGGTTTTGATTTTTAGCCTTTATAGTCCGGTGGCTTAAGGAAAAAATCGTGACACGGCGGATAAAAGCACCAAATTTTGCATGTGGGTACCTTTTGACATACTAAATCAAATTAGAGCCGTAGCCCACGGAAGAAAATTACCGTTTGGCCAAAAAGTCCAAAATGGCCGCCAATTTATGGAATTCTATAGAAATATGTACATACCCATGTTGATTTTTATCAAATAGATTTTTTTCTCAGAGTTTTCTACATCCTAATTACCCATTTTATTCATATATGTCAGATAGCAAACAAGTTCCCTTGGACTTTTTGAAAAAATCCAAGATGGCTGTCATATGTCATAGAAACAGCCATAGGAATACTAGTGCACAACTAATACCAGCTTGAAAGATACGTTGTCCACTATCAAATTACGTCTGTTTCTCAGAATTTTGTTACCCACGTATGTTTGTTGTGAGGAACTACAAAGTGTTCTTGGGCATTTTGGGAAATCCAAGATGGCTGCCATGTGCCACAGGAACTCTAGTATATGGGGGATTCAACTAATGGTAACTGGAAAGATTAATTTTCCACTATCAAA